AACCACCCCATTTTTAAACGGCAAAGGACTTACGTAGACATTTCTTTGAAGAAGACAGACAAATGGCCAACAAGCACAGAAAAAGATGCTTAACACCATTAGTCATCAGGGAAATCCCACAGTGAGATACCACTTCACACCCAGTAAATGGCTATAATAAAATATTTAAAAAATAGAAAAAGAGGATGTGGAAAATGTGGAACCATCGTACATTGCTGGTGGGAATGTAAAATGGTGCAACACAGTTTGATAAATCCTCAGTAAGTTATTTAAAACAAAAATTTGTGCATGAACGTTCATAGCAGTACCATTCACAATAGCCTCAAGGTAGAAACAACGCAAATGTCCATCCGCTGATGAACGGATAAACAAAATGTGCTATAACCACACAATGGAATATTATTTGGCCATAGAAAGGGATGAAGTCCTGACACATGCTCCGATATCAATGAATCTCGCAAACGCGATGCTAAGGGACACCTGGGTGGCTCAGTCGTTAAGCGTCTGCCTTCAGCTCAGGTCATGATCCCAGGCTCCCAGGCTCCTGGGATCGAGCCCCGCATCGGGCTCCCTGCTCTGCAGGAAGCCTGCTTCTCCCTCTCCCACTCCCCCTGCTTGTGTTCCCTCTCTCGCTGTGTCTCTCTCTAATAAATAAATAAAATCTTAAAAACAACAACAACAAACAAACAAAACGTGATGCTAAGTGAACAAAACCAGTCACAAAAGACCACACATTGTATGACTTCGTTCATGTGAGCTCTTCTGACTAGACATTCACAGAAACAGAAAATAGATGGTGGTTGCCGGGGGTTGAGGAAGAGGGGAGAATGAGGAATAACTGCTTGATGGGCAGTTTCCTTTTGGAGTGAAGAAAAACTTCTAGAACTAGAACTAGAACTTCTAGAACTAGATAGCGGTGATGGTTGTACAACATTGTAAAAGTACTTAATGCCACTGAAATGCACACTTAAAAATGGTTAAAATGATAAATTTTAGGGGCACCTGGGTGGCTCAGTCAGTTAGGCGTCTGCCCTTGGCTCGGGTTTTGGTCCCAGGGTCCTGGGATCCTGCCCCACGTCGGGCTCCCTGCTCGGCGGGGAGCCTGCTTCTCCCTCTGCCTGCTGCACTCTCTGCTTGTGCTCTCCCTCTCTCTCTCTGGCAAATAAATAAATAAAGTATTTTTTTAAAAGTCCCTGGAAGAGGATTTGTGGGGTCACCAAATAGGTATCATTTGTAATGCTGGCGTGTATCACTAACATAACCTCTTTAGCAACTGTGTCAGTTTATATTCCCACCAGTGGTGTGTGTATGAGAAGCGTGGGGAAGGGGTGGGGTGCCAAGTTGTTGACCTCAGCTGTTCTGCTCCCCGCTCCCCACCACTTGGGCCCTCAGGTGCAGTATATATATATATACATCTGAGCCCCCCTCCTGTGCGAGGCCGGCCCAGGGCTCAGCCTCTGTAACCTCAACCCTGCTTGCTCAGCACGCCTGTGGTCGAGGAGGCAGGCGATGCTGCAGCACAAAGCCCGGTTTTGACTCATCTGTCAAGGTGGGGCCCCCAGGATTGGACATAACCAGAGACCTCAAACCCACTCATCTCCCCTAAAAGGAGCCCCTGGGATTCCCTGCATAGGGCTTCCCAACCCCCTTCTCCCAATTTTCCCTCTTCTTGCTAACATGGGGATACACGACCTGCTACTTGCTTCTGTTAATTTCTCTCTCCCCCTCCCCCCCAGCTATTCAAAACTTTGGTGACATCTTTCTGCTGCTTTTCTCTTCTCCACTTCTTTACAGCTCTTTATTTTACTTCCTTTTCCCTCTTATCCTAACCATAGAGCAGCAGAGTGGTCTACTTCATCCCCCTCTTTTTACAAATGGAAACCTGAATCCCAGAGCGATAAGTGACTGGCCCACGGTCACACAGTGAATAGGGATGAAGACAGGTGAGGCTCAGTTTGTTTGCCACTTTCCTCCCCTCCAACCCCAGCCACCATCATCATCAAAAGTTGTGCCTTCTCCCCGCCAGCTCCAGTGGGCTCCACCTGATCCCCTTTCTCTTCCCTTGCAGGGCTCTTCTTCCGTCTTCCCTTCTTTCCCTCTGTAATTGTCCCATTTTTCCTGGACTCGATTCTGACTCCAATACACACCCTAACATCCCCCTTGAGCACCTGAGAAACAGCATTTTCCCAACCCATCCTGATCTCCCAAATCAAGTGGAATCCTCTGCTGCCCATTCAGCGGCACGAGGAGGGAAGAGAACTGAGCCACTGGGCCAGTCTCCCAGGACTGTGGTATCCACAGCCAAGGTGCCACTGGCAGAGCTGAGCTGAGCACCGGGCACTGGGCAGCAGGGCTATAGCAGCTGGAGACTCAGACTAGGAGAGCCCCTCTTTGACATAATCCTTGGCACATGGCGGGCACTCAAGTGATGGTAGTCATACACCCCCTACCTTCTTTGCCTCCCTCCAGCCCCACTTTTGGGAAACCCACGCAGGAGAGATGGGTAGGTGTGAGGGGGGGGGGAGAGCTTGAGAAACTGGAGGAGAGAACTGGGAAGAGGATCTTAGGAAAGCAGAAAGGAGTTCAGAGCCTTTCCCCAGTCTCAGCCGGATCCTGGGTGTCTTCAGGTCAGAGCCCGGAGCCCTCTTCCCGGGGGGGTGGGGGGGTGGTGGTGCTGGGAGCAGGCGGGGGTTGGGCACGTAAGGAGAGGAGGCAGAGGGCTGGTGCCCTGGTACTCACGGATGCGTGCAGAGCAGCCCTTCCTCCAGCAGCCGCAGCCTTTGTGTACTGATCTGGGAGGCTGCAGAGGAGGAAGTGACACACCCTGGGGTGGGGTGGAGGAGATTTCGGGGTGGTGGGGTAACTGACCTAGGAGAAGGTGGAGCCCCTAGGGGTGGAACTGAGCTGAGGGGGGTGACAATACAGGGATCTGGAAGGAAGCAAGGAAGCTTGTCTGGCTACTGAGCACCTATTACATGCTGGGCGTACCACGATATTATAATTAACCCCTGACATAGCCACAGGTTAGTATCCCCCCAGCCCCCAAATTTTACAGATGTAGAGGCTAAGAGGAAAGGTAGATGTTGCGACTCAGAGGTAAGAAATGAAACTCTTTGCCCAAGGCCACATAGCTAGCAACTGGCTGGTGGGTTTCCATCCTGGGCTGCCTGCTTCCTAAATCGATGTGAACGCTCCACTTCTTCATACAGGAACATGATAGGAAAGGAAGAAATATGGAGGCAGTTAAGTACTGGGAAGGGGGATGTTAGGGACTATGGGCACTGATTTTGAAAACCCAGTGCCCTCTCTATCATGCTGGCCGCTGAACTCCGTAGGCTCTGGAGCCAAACCGCCCGAGCTCCAGTCCTGTTCTCTCATGACAGCAGTGGGAACTTACGTAGTTACTTAGCCTTCCTGTGGCTTCATCTCATCGGTCCTGTGGAATTGAGGATTGCTGCGAGAATTAAATGAGATAATTCACATCAATGGCTTCCAAGAGACCCCGGGACAACCTAAGGGCTTGATAATAGGCTCCGTGGATGAGAAGGAGCACAGTGAGAAGCAGAGAGGCTGAGAAATTCAAGGCCTGGACAGCTGGGAAGTTGGAGACAGACACAGGGCCAGGCTCAGAGAATGAGACTGGAGGAGGGGGCCCGCTGTGCCAAGAAGGCGGCGGTGGAGGCTGGGAAAGGCGCAGAGGAGGCGGATGGGAGAAGCCGAGGGCTCAGTCATGGCCGCTGGAGCCGGGGCGAGGATGAAGCCTGGGGCGGGGAAGGGGGTGTGGAAAATCCCCGCGCCCAGCCCACACTTGACCGCGGGGAGCTTTGAGAAGGAGCTGGACTGGAGATCTGTGTTCACAGGCCTGCCTCCTCTGCCAGAGGGACACTCCGTGCGGCAGGGACTGACATGCCACCACACCTAGACAAGTGTCGATCTCTGTGGGTGTGCAGTGAGTGGCAGGTGGATTGTAGGAGTGCAGCTGCTGGGAGGAGCGCCTGGGACAGGGGGGCTCCTTCCCCAGGGGGTGCTTCTTCAGCTGGCCTCAGCCTACCGGACCTCAGACCTCATACCCTTCCCCCACAAGCAGGGGTTACCATGGCGATGACCCCTCCTTCCCCACAGGCTCTGTGGTTTCCTCCACAGCTTCTTTCACTTTCTTCTTCTGCTTTTCCTCACTCTTCTCTCCTCCCCTACTCCCACATCCCCAACCCCTCTCCCATATGCACAGGTCATCGGTGAAGAAAGCCAGGCATAAGGTAGGCAGGGCGCTGGCCCAGCAAGGAAGGTGGGCCACGGTGTGTGTGTTGAGCAGGGGGGGGGGGGGGCGGGGAGGGGGCGTCACAGAGGGTGAGGGGGAGAGCACGGGGCACCGTGGTAGAGGCCACAGGCAGTGGGCTGAGGGTGGGGGTGTTGCAGAGGTAAGGCGTGTAGGGGCAAGGAGAGATATTAGGAGAGAAGGTTAACAGTGGGGTCATGAGGTGAAGTGGGGTCAGAAGGGGCAGAGGGAGTGATTTCTAAGGTGATAGTGGGGTCAGAGTGGGGGAGCTCATGAAGTAAAGAGAGGGTTGGTGTAAAATAGAAACACTGTAACTTAGATGGAGGCTGTGGTTCTTTTCTTCTGGGGCCAGAGACCCTCATGAGAGCCAAGTGCAGCTTCAAAATGAACGCCCTCCCCAGAGAAGGGCAGGTATGCACAGATACATAACCGGGGCTGTGGAGACAGCTTAAAGACGTCTGGGCCCATTCACACCTTCCCAGAGGTGCACAGGGTCCAATCTAAGAACCCACACCTGGTGGCAGTGGGAGGCCCAGACACCCAGGGTAGGCCCCTCTGGGCTCCCTTTCTCCCCCGCTCCCACCACCCCCATCCAGGCGCATCTCATCCAATTCCCTTGGTTTCCCTAAGAAAGCTGCAAAATCCAGTAGATTTGGAGCTCACCTTCCTCGTCCAGCCCAGCTGGTCATTTCCCCTACCACCTCCCAGAGGGAGCCACATGCCATGAGTTTCCATCACTTTATTTTGCAAAAATAGAAAACTCAGCAATATGCGACACAGCGGGGTGGAGGGGAGATGTAAACAGAGGGGAGGGGACAGCACCCTGACCCCCCAGAGAAAAAGGGGAGCCAAGTGGGAATCTTATTTGGCAGCTAAATACAAACTGGGGATTGGAGGAAGAAGGGAGGGGTCACAGGGGCCCTGGGCTCCCCCTCCCAAGACCCCTGGAGGAAGGGGTCAAGTCCAGGGTGTAAACAAAAGCTAATAAATAAATAGAGGTTTCCTCTGGGTCAGGGAAGGATCAGCTAAGCAGCGCCCACCCCCCCTTCCCTGGGCCAAGCTGCTCTGGAGATCAAGGTGGGGGGAAGGCACTAGGGGGAGACGGATCCCCTGGTCCCTCTGTAGTGTAGGAGGGTCCCTGCCCCGGTGGCTGAGATGGGAGGCAGGGGAAGCCCAAGGCACGGTGATGGGGCCAGGGGAGGGGCTTGTAACGGAGGGCACAAGGTCAACTCTGGGCCCAAGCAAAGAGGTGCCGAATGGACCTGCATCTGTCCCTTTCACCCTCTGGCCCCCACAGAAATGCAGGGCCCAGCCTGCCCCAACCTGACGTGGCACGAGGCCAGGGGACGGAGGGCAGCATGCACCCGGCAGGTGCATTACGCAGCATGAGGCACCAAGGGCAGGGGCAAGAGGGTGGGCTCAGCCCTCCCCCTATGCCCCCTTTTTTTGGTCTCTAGTGTTCCTGTTTGCTCCCAGAGGCCTAAGCACCTGGCAGAGGAAGGGGCTGTGGAGCTGGCAGGGTCTTCCTCCTGCCCTGGAGAGCCTGGGTCCCTGGTGTCTGAGGGGCAGTGCTGAGATTTTAGAGTCCAAACCGAGGCTCACCCCTCTGCCCTCTCTCCTGGTGGGACAGGGCAGGCCCCCGAGACCGGAAAGGGAGCCAGTTAGAGCAGGAAGGGGATGAACACAGAGGCACCCCTGAAACTTTGGCAAAAACAAGGAGCTCATTGGAAGGGGTGGAGAGAGGGCAGAGCAGGTCCTCCCCCAGTAACTGGCAGTGTCTGGGAGATGGTCAGTCTGCTGCCTGGAGCCCCAACCCCCATGGCAGGGGAAGTCAGGGGCCCTGGTCAGGCTGGGGGCTGCAGCCCCCTTTGCTCTGGCCCCGGGGAACCTCATCCTCGCTAGAGGCCTTGGGGTGGGGACCAGGCTGCGAGGAGTCGTCCTCAAACATTTCGGGGTTCTCCAGCATCTCTCGGATTAGGGGAGGCATCGGGCCTGGAATCTCCATCTTCAGGGTAATGGCCCTTTCTGCTCCTGCAACAGAGGGACAAAGAGGTTCAGGGGAGCAGAGGCCCACGCCCCCTGAGGCCACCTCCCTAACCTTTCCGTCCAGGGGCTCCCAGCACAAGCCCGCCACCTCTCTGTCCCAGCTCACCCTCTCCCTACTCCAGGGTTCCTGGGGGCCACTCCTCTGCCTGCAGCTCCTACCTGCCTTCTCTGCCGAGTCTGCTGCCCACTCATCCCATGCTTCAGGCTCAAAGATCACACCCAGCCCAACTGTCAGCCCCATTCTCCAAGCACTCCACCTTCCCACGTCCACAGCTGGCCAACTGTGCCTAGGCCGTTTCTTACCAAGCTTTATAATAATAGCTAATACTAATTGAACCCCTCCTATCTGCCACGCATCCTTCTGAATCATCACTGTCCAACAGAATCTTTTGTGATGATGGAACTATCTACTTCGCCCAGTACAGTCCTCACTAGCTCCTGGGCACTTGAAATGCGGCTACAGCCACCGAGGAATTGGCGTTTTTAATTCAGAGCAGTTCTAAGCCCCCTCTGTTAACTCGCTTAGTCCTCACAATTACTGATAGGGTAAGTCTAAGTACAGCCTGGCTTTCAAACAGGAAAACAAGGTACAGTAAGTAAAAGGAATTTGCCCGAAGTCTCCCCACCAGGCTGCAGCCGAGCTAGGATTCCAGTGTAGACCGCCTGATTCTCTGTTCTGGTCTCTGCTTGTCTGCCCGCCTGACCCGAGACCAGCAGGTCCAGGAGGAGACTGAAGAGGGTCCCTCATGACTGACCCTTGGTGCTGATGCCCCGGAGGTCGGTGATCTTCATGAGCATCCTTGGGAACATGTAGGGTTGGCTGGGCCGCCGCCGGCGGGCATAGAGCCTCAGGGCCTCCAGCAGTGGCTCCTGCAGCTTGTCTACTTTCTCGGGTTCCTCCAGGTCCATGCGGTCTACAGGAACAAGCACAGCACGGTGAGAGGAAGAGACAGGAGAGACAGTGACAGGTGGCCCATCCCCAACTGGCCCTGCCCTACGGCCCCCCGGCCCCCCCCCACTCTGCCCCATCAGCCCTTCGCCTACTGTTCCTGAGCCTACCCAGACCACCTGCCCTGCTCTGAGCCCCACACTTTCTCCCTTCTGGTAAATCATTCCTGCCCAGACCCCTATCTCAGCACCAGTTATCTGGGATCTCCTCAGCTCTCTCTCTGGCTCTGCTCTCCTTTCTGTCCTGTGCCCCAGGGCTGCTGGGGAGCCTGTACTGGACCTGTGAAGTCAGTGCATGGGGCAGGTGCAACAATGTCCCGGGGGAGGGACCAAGGTCTCCTGCCTGGTGAGACAGCAGGTATGGGGTGCGGTGGGAAAGGAGTTCGAGTAAACGCCAGGGGGCGCCCCCGCACCTCCGCAGATGAGGCAGATGGCACTGAGCAGGCCGGTCTCTGTGTCATCCATCTCCAGGGGCAGGAGCTGCCCAGCAAAGGCAAAGACGAGGTCTGTGAGGGGCCCAAAGCCGGCGTTGTGCATCTGGGTCCGGTTCAGGGTCAGCCCATCAGAGAAGGTCATGGTGTCCTGCTCTGGGGTGTACCTTGTGCAGATCCGTAGCATCTGGAGGTGGGCAAGGGGAAGGGTTAGTGCTGTGTCTGGGGAGGAGCCCAGCTCAGGTGGGGAGAAGGGGTGATGAGGTGCACGCGGAACAGGAGGGGGTTAGATGCAGAAGGAGGGCAACCTGCAGCAGGCAGGGGGAGGGAGGCAGAGGCAAAGAATCTAACGCTGGGGAGGGAAGAGAGGTCAGGAGGCAGGGCGTCCAGAAGTGTAGGATCAGGTCTTGGGGCAGGGGTAAGACCAAAAAAAGCTAGGGTTTAGAGGAGACCTGGGGAGTCCCAGGTTGGAGAGGGGTGGGGAAGATGATGAGATCTTTGTGTGGACCAACTCCTTGGCCTCATGTGAGGGTCAGGCTGTGGGGGGAGACAGGCCGCCGGGCTTAACTCACCAGGATGTCCAGGCAGGCGGCCTTGAGCAGAGTGATCTGGTCAGCAATGCTGAGCCCTGTAAAGCCAGGCAGCCTCTTGGCAAACTCCACGATCTTGATGATGCACTTGGTGGCCAGCTCACTGAACTTGTCCCAGAGCCCCAAATCCAGCTGCACCCGGTGGTCTGCACTGGAGTTCTACAGGGAGGGCAGGTGGGAATGCAAGCTAAGGCCCGCCCTGGGGGCTGTCTTCTTTTGGCCAAAACCCCAAGCTCTCCCCTCTGCATTCTGTTGCCCTTCCTTGTCCTCAGCACCAGACCGTGACCTCAATACAGCCCGGACCTAGTCCCCAAAGCGAACGGTCCCCTGCCCTCGCTGGAGACTCACCGTGGTATATTTGCCCAGCTGGCAGAGTGAGGGGAAGGTCTCCTGATGAGCTTTGCTGACCTTGGTGATGAGCTCTTCCAACTGAGGGCTCAGCTCATAGCCGTCGAGCGACCCCTCTTCCTTCACCTCTTTCTTCTTCTTATTCCGGTCATTCCGCACGGCTTGGGGTGAAGGCACACAGAGAGGGTCAGGACCCTCAGAACCTCCCTCTGGGTATCTAGCCCCTCTCACCCCAATTATCATGTACTCAGTCCTTACCATGAACATCTGTTCCCTGGGACCCTAATCGCTGCCTCAGTTTCCCTAGCCCCTACACTAGCTCCCACTCCCAGGCTGGCTCTCTCCAGCCCCACCCAGGGCCTGCAGCCCCTGCTCCCTCCCCAAGCCATTCGGCTCCATCCTGCCCTTCCTGTCACCCTGCAGGAGCTGAAGGGGGGGGGCAGGATATGCAGGCGGCAGGATATCCACTTATAGCCTTGGCAGCACAATGGCGCAGGGGAGGGGGGGCACCCCAGAGCCACCTCAGGCTCAGTCTTGGGAGCAGGGGAGAGGACTGGCAAGCACCCCCCCAACTAGCTCCCCATGAAACAGGGCAAAGTGAGCCAGTAACCCCCATTCACTCACTCAGAGGGAGGATTAAGCTCTGCGAGGGGAGAACGGCAAGGGGTGGGCCCTCCTGGGTGAATGGGCACTAATCAACAGGACTGGCCAGGGAGGAGGCAGCACCCCAGGGCAGGCCAGGTCTCAGAGGTCAAGGAAGCGGCTGTGGGAAGAGGGTAGCAATGACAGGGTAGGGCAGGAGGGCTCCTGCTCAGGCCAGGGCTAGGGGCCCATACCTTCTTTGGACATGCCCACTTCGAAGCACTTCTGTAGCCGGCAGTACTGACAGCGATTCCGGGTCACCTTGTTGATGATACAGTTTTTGTCGCGGTGACACGTGTACACCATGTTCTTCTGGATGCTGCGGCGGAAGAAGCCCTGGAGTTGGGGGTGGGGGTAGGCAGTGAAGCAGGATGATGGGAGTACCAGCCTCTTGCGGGCCTTGCGGGTGGCCCCAGGCCCGAGCCAGTCTATGAGCCAAGTCTGTGCAAAGCAGCCCCGCCCGCTCCACAGCAAGAGCCACTAACACAAAGTGTCTTGCCCCTCTGGTCTGGAGCCGGACTCAGCGCGCCCACCCCCACCACTCACACACCTTGCAGCCTTCACAGGAGCTGACCCCATAGTGGTAGCCAGAGGACTTGTCATTGCACACGAAGCACGGCTTGTAGACCCGAGGCGGTGGAGGGGGCGAGGGCGAGCTGGGCACCATCTCCTCTGAGCTAGTGCTCTGCGTCTCCACCGCTGGGGGGAAAGTAGTGACATGAGGGTCGGGGAACAGGGCCCCTCAGATCTCCAGCTCCAGGCATCCTCACTATACACGCACACCCCATTCCCACTTCTCCCTCCAGCTCAGCGGTGACACCACCATCCTCGCCACGGTGACTTAAAGTCCCAACAACCATGTACAGCCCCAGAGCACACACTTCCAGAAAACCACTCTGAGTGCACCTCCTGCAGTCTGGCCATCTCCCTGCACAGCAGTGCCAGCCCGAGCCCTCGTGACACTGCTCAGTTCCCCAAATTCCAAGCCAAAGCCATCCTGGAAGTTAACTTCCCTGGGCCTCAGTTTCCCCAGCTATAAAGTGGGCAGGTGGAGGGGTTATGGGCTGTGGCTCTGCACTCTTTAGTCCCTGTCTGTCACATCGGTCCACCGCATCAGGTAGTCTACCTCCCACCATCCTCCTCCTCCTGAGGCAAGAGATCTGGGGCCCAGGAGGCAAGTACCCGGCACCGGAAGCTAGCACCTGGCTAAATGACCTGCTGGGGTACTCAGTAGGTCCAAGAGGACCTCATTATCTCTCAAGTAGTCCAGGGTGGATAATCCTCCCGCTTTTCCCTCTCATACCGACGCCCCCCCACCCCCGCCACCAGCCCCGGCAAATAACTGCCCGTATCTGTTTCTCCAGAAACTACTGAGGCAGTGGAGCAAATGGGACCTAGGGATCAAGAAAACAGGTTAGAAGATACGCAGTAGCCTTATTTTACACCTGAAGGAACTGAGGCCAAGAGAGGGAAGGAGGCAACCCAGTGCCACACTACCAGTTGGTGGTGCAGCCAAGACTCTCAGGTCCTCTGACTAGATCTACGTGGCCTGGCAGGGACTCAGGAGAAGTTGGGGAAGGAGAGACTGAGGTATTTGCTCAGATTCTCAGGTCCAGAAGCGGTTGGGGGTGTAGCAAAGCAGGAAAAGTCAGGTGACAGTAGGTAAACAGGGCTCATGGGGGAGGGGAGCTATCTCTGGACCCTCTCTGAGCCTGTGTCTTCACTCCTAAACTTCCCGCACAAATACCCAGTCGCAGCTCAAAGGGGGTCTCAGCCCAGGCCACACAGAGTGCGTGTGGCCAGGAGGACACCCTCTGTTCAGGAGGCTACTCGGTAGACCTTTTTTGATTTTGTGGGGCTTTGGGGTCTGTAATTGATCTTCAGAGACTGGAAAAATCTATAAACTATTCAGCCTGTAGGACCTGTTGCCCAAACCTAGCGGGCCCAAGTTAATGCAAGAAAACACTGAGACCCTCGTCCCACGCACCCACCTCATGAGCACCTTCTGGCTTCTAACCCGCCGCAGCCCACCTGGTCAAAAGTCTGCCCCATGCCGCCAGCAGGACAGAAGGAAAGCCCAGGATGCCGGGGTTCCGGGCTAGCTCCACCCACCCCACAGGAGGGAAGCCCTCCCCACCCCCCAACACACAGACACCATTAGCATAAGAATCCTGCTGGAGTGAGATTCCCCAATGGTAAAGGACAGAGAAGAGGGGAGGAAAGAAGGTGCCTCCCGTCTATTCAGGACCGGGGGCAGGAGCCTCCAGGAGGGGCTGGTGCTGAGAGATGTGGGGCGGGCTGGAATGCCTTTCAGGACCCCTCCTGGTGTCCTAGGAGGGCACAAGTGCAGCCCAGAGGCCAGTGCGTGGGGTGGTACTCACTTGGGTGCTGACGCCCTCCCTGCCCGCAGAACGCTGCCTCATTTCCTCTCTTGCGAAAGGGCCTGGGTGCGGTCAGACTGGCATGGGGCAGTGCCAGGCAATTACAAGACTGGGGGCCGCAGGGAGACAGGCCTGAGGACAGCTTTTCCTGTCACCCCTTCTGGGCACTCCTCTGGCACAAGCCTGCCCCCTGAAGCCTAGAGTGCAGCCCAACAGCTCTGGACAATCTGGGGGGCGAAGGGCACAAGAAGGCTAATTGACTCAAGGCTGCTCAGATTCCCTTCTCAGCCCTGAGCCAAGACACCAGCATCGGGATACTGCTCCCAGGCTAGGCAGGGGCCCCTGCTGGGGAGGAGGGGGGTGGGCTCTAGGTTTTTCTCCTTTTAAAGCCCAAATTGCTGAAATTGAGGAAATTCCTGGCCAGGCTGAGCGGAGCTTCAAACAAACTCTTTATAACCGGCTGTAAACGCTCCCAGCTGCGAGGCACAGGGCCGAGAAGCCCAGACTCACAATCTGACACACACTTCTTTGGAGACACTCTCACATCGACACCACGCAGGGCACAAAAGCGGACATACTACCAATGGGCCCCTATACCCGGCCGGCCCCGGGCACCGAAGAACACACAGGCGGGCCTGAAAGCACACCCACTCCAGCCACACGGCAGAGGTGGAGGTACAAGTCATGAAGTTGCCACACAACATCCAGCTTCACATTTGCAAGAGAGCAGCTCAGCGACCACACACCCCAGCCTGCCAGTGCAGCACCAGGACACCCGCGAACACCCACAAACACACCATGTGGCCCTCTCCTCATGGGACCTCTTTCCTTCCCCGATGTAGACACAGGTCTAAACTACTTTCTCTCTGAAAGTGTGCAGAGCAGGCCTGAAGCCCACCAAGACCCTAGAGGCCAAAATTATTGGTCCAAATTGAAATGCAAAAAACATACTGCCAGCCAAGTCCCTGAGACTGCCAAGCCCCCCAAAAAGGGACCCAGCCCCCACAAAAACCCCTCCTGGGAAAGTCTCCACCTCAGCACCCCTCCCAACATACCCCGATGCCCCTTCCTATTGGGCAGTGAAAGGAAGGTTAAGAATTCATCAGGATTTGGTGCAAAGTAATAACAGTTCCATGCTTTCTCCACCCTATAAATGCCACACTTTTAATTCTCGCCCCACTCCACCCCAAAATACGGTCTCCTGTTTGCCACCTCCCTCCTCCCATCTGAGCAGCATTGCCCTGGAACCAAGAGACCCCCCCCCCAAAAAAAAAAAAAAAAAAAAAAAAAAAAAGAAAAAAGAAAGAAACTAAGAAAGGAAAAAGAACAGTAAAGAAAAAAAGAAAAAAGAAAAAAAAAGCCGAACTCTCGTAAACAGTGCTGCCGAGTGCCAAGGAGCGAGGCGCGTTGGCGGGGGCTCGGTGACCCCTCGCGCGCACTCCCCCAGCGCCCTGGGCCCCGCCCGCCGCCCGCCCCTTCGCAGCTGCCCCCAAGCCCCTCGCCCCGGCGTCCGCACCGGGCTACCAGCGCGCTCCCAGCCCCGGGTAAATTCGGGGGGTGTTCGAGGCTCCCCTCCCGGCTCCTCCCCACACCCCACCCCCGCCAGGCACTTCGGCCCAGGCTTCAAAGCCGCCTCTCATCTGGACTTCATTTTTACTGCCTCTCAGTCCCCAGCTTTTTATTACCGCTCTGGAAAGGGGTTCCAGGGCCCCAGGCCTGGCATCTCCCATTTCACAGAGAGGGGAAAATGGATATTTGGGGACCCAGTAGTCCTACTCTCCCCGCCGCTGCCTCCTCCAGGCCACCCCCCCACCATAAACAGACTTTGCTGTAAACTTTTCGCTTCCTACTGAAGTTGTGTGTGTCGGAGCCATAGGAAAAAGTAATCTCTCTGCATACAACCCTGTACACATTTCCAAACGTTGCTTTTTAAGATGGGGGAGGGGCGCCAGAGCCCAGCCTTCTCCCTGTTGTGTGCACAACCGTGTCCACCCCGCACGAACACACAGGATGCACGCTCGAACACCGCACTTTCCAAAACCGCCCCCGCAGCCACGCCGGGGCACACGCCTTCCCGGCCTCACGCCACAAACATCCCCACACAAGGGCCGTGCGGACCTGCCAACTGTCCGAGGGCGACGCGGCGTGGAGAGACCCCCCCCCTACACTCACAGCCACACCGCCTACGTAAGGCGCTGCACCCTCCAGGGATTCACACGCTCTGCAAATATTTCTTACGCTCCCAACTCCCCACATGGACTCTATAAACGCCACCCACGGTCCTGGGTGCCATATCCCTCCGGGGCCACGGACCTGCGGGCACAAGCTACCAATAACACCTCGGTCTCTCCCTATCCCCAGAAATTCTGGAGTGGCATCAACCGCAGCTCCTAGCTAAACACCCACCATAAAAACCACACACACTCCAAACACTGCGGCACACACCCAAAGGAGTCGCTGAGGTCCCCACGTTTAAAGGGCCAGTACCTCTCTTTCCTACACACAGCCGCCCCTCACATAGAGAGGGTGAGAATCTCCGCTTGCACCCCAGTTCCACCTTTTACACACGGAAAGGGTGAGCCGCTGCCTCTCCTACGCCCCGCACCCCACCCCTGAGCTCTGGTACCTACATTGCAGACTGGCGGGTTGAGGCCAGGCAAAAGACTCAAATCCGGCGAAACAGGAGCTGCCCGTGGCTCTGCGCAGCAAGCCGGCCCCGGGCCCGGACGCCCCGTACAGCCGTCGCGGACCCGGGGCAAACGTTTCCATGCAGTCGTACATCGCGACCCGGCTTGGAGGGAAGCTGGGTGCTAGGAACACCAAGGACCCGCAGCCGATTCCCCCTCCTCCCCCGGCGGCGCCCCGCTCCTGGAGGGGGGGAGGGGGAGGGCTAGCATAGGGCGCCAGGCTGCATGGGGGGTAAGGGGTGGGCGGGGAAGAGGGGGATCCCCAGCAGGGGAAAGGGACTGGGCGGGGCGCAAAGCCGGGGCTGCCGCATCGGCCGCGGTCCGGCTCACTCTGGGCGCCTCGGCGCCTAACACTGGGGAGACCTTTTGTAAAAGCGAAGCCCGGAGGGGTGGGGGGTGGGGCTTGGAGAGCGAAGGGGGCCGGGCACTAAGACAAGCAGAGCTGGGAGTGGAGCGCACACTTACACACACTCGCACCCGGCGCGCGCGCTTGCTTAGACACATATCCGTGCATGCATTTATCTAGGCAGGCACCACGTATTTGCAAATATGCAATCGTGCGCATTCATCTATCTGCACGCACATAAAATCACAGATGCACAAACGCTTGTGCAAGCACATCTAGCTCGGGAGAATGCTGTTAGGCATTCTGTCTCCACAATCCCCGAGGCTTTGCACGCATTTGCACTTCGGCGCGTGCCCCGGTCGGGAATGGGGGAAGGAGTGGAGGAACCAAGCACACGCATTTCCTTTTGAGTTTCCCCCCTCCCCTCCCCAACACTCTCTGCACACAAGTTGATACAGGCAGGGGTGTCAAGGAAGACGGGGGAGAGGGGAACATGGAGGTTCCCTGCGCGCCGCAGTTCTCCGGAGCTCGGGGACCTGCACTACCTCCACCCCCTCATTCCCAGGCCTGGCTCCTCCCTCTCCCTCCGCGCGCGCGCTTCGGGGCCGAACCGTACATTCCTGCGGCTCGGCGCGCGCGGCCTCCTCCTTCCTTCCCGTTCTCCCCACCCCCGGTCGAAGGGCCGGAGCGCGCTCCCGCCGTGAACTCTCCGGGAACCCCCCTCGGGGCGGGTGGCCGGGCGCGCTCACCTCCTCCTGACCCGGCCCCGCCCCACCCCGCCCAGGCCGTCGCCAGCGCCGCCGCGGAGTCCCCCGCCCCCTCCTGCGCAGCCCGGAGTCCACCCCTCCCAGCCCGAGCTGTCCTCCCTTCGCCGCGTCCCGGGCTGCCTCCCTCCAAGTCCCTTTAGCCCCGTCCCGCGACTGACGCTCCCCAGGCGCTCCACCGCCTCTCTCGATGCCCCTTCCTCGAGCGTGACTTCACTTTCAGAGCACACCAACTCCCACCCCAAACTGTCCCTACGGTGTCAGCCGCGCCTCCGATGAAGTTGCCCTGCTGAGTGCCAGCTCCCCTCCCCCAGGCTTTCTACCGTGCCAATTGCCCCAAAGTGCCAAGGGCCCCTCTCGGCTGTAACTGCGGGTCCGGTCGTCAACTGTTCTCAGAGCCATTACATATCCCCCCCACCACCATTGGCAATAACTGGCCCTTCTCCCCTTCCGTGCCACACTGAGTGCCCTTCAGATCTCCGAGGGCCGCCTCGCTGTCCCCTCCGTAGCCCCTTCCGGGCACTGAGCGCCCTCGCTCGCCGGAGAAGGGGGTGAGGGGGGCGGGGGTTTGGCCACGTCAAGAGTTTGCCCTCGCCGCCCGGCCGAATCGGGGACCCTGGCCCCAGGACAGCGCCAGCGGCGGCGACTCCCGGAAACCGCCCCCTCCCCCCGCGCCCCGCCCGCCGCCCGGCCGCCCGGCCGCCCGGCGGGCCGGCCCAGCCGGCTCTGTCAGCGCCGCTCACACGGGGAGCGCCCGGGGAGCGGGAGCGGCGCCCGGCCGGCCCCTTCCCCCGCCTGGCGGCTGTGGCTGGGCCAGGGCGGGGCGCGCTTTTCTAAGAATCTGCTGTACCGGGTGGGGGGCGCACTGGGGGTGCTGCAGGAGTGGGGCGCCAGTTTGGAAGAATAAAGAGCAGGAAGGGGTGCCAGAGTAGTCAGGGACGGGAAGGCGGGCGCGGAGGAGGGGCCGGGGTGGTGGCCGGGGACGCGGGGGGGGGGGGGGGGGGGGGGGGGAGGGGGTGGCAGGGCTGACTGGGGGGCTTGAAGTAGGGATGAAGTGGGAAGGCAGTGTTCTTTCCAAACCAGGGTGAGCTCCCGGCTCTTGCCCCCAACCTCAAATACCCCATTTCTGAATCCAGCCCCCCACACAACAAAACGGAGGGGGATGGTAGATTTCTGAATCAGAATCTGGGCAGTGGTAAAAAAAAAATCAATTAAGTATAAAATGGGAAGTACCCCCAAAACCAGGGGGAAAAGAGCCCTGATTAGTCAACTCCAGGCTGTCAGTCCGCCCCCCACCCTTCCTCCTCCGAAATCTGAAAGGTCCCAATTAAGTCAGGCCTGCCTGGTTGGTAATTAGAACCAGAAGTGGCCAGGCCACAGGGAGGGGGGTTGGGAGTGGGGCACAGGAGGGGGGTGGAAGGCTCCAGGAAGTCATGAGCCCTCGATAGCCCCCCTTTCTCTTCACCAGATGCACCCCACTCCTCATCACCCCATCTGTGTGTGCTTCCCAGGCATTGCAGGGAGAGGGGGGCTTATAAGGGGCTTATAAGACATTAGAGTGCCAGGCCCACCCTTCCCGTCAACCCCAATCCCCCCCCCATTCTAGACAGTCTTAGCACAGCCTTGAAGAGAAGGTAAGAGGACAGGGGAATCTAGTGCCCCCTCTTATCCCCAAAGTCCCCCCAGCCCTTATTGCAGCAATTAGACCCATTAGCCTTCTAGCATTTCATGGGAACCAGATGTTCTCCACCAGCCTGGTGGGAGTATGAGGGGGGGCTGCTGCCTGACTCACCCCCCTCCCCATCTATGATCCCCACCACCACCACCACCACGGTTCACCCCTCCCAGCTAGAGTCCCACAAAGGCAAGACCCCAGAGGCAGAGAAGTGCACCCCTCCCCCACTAACAAGGTCATTAGCACTCAGAGTCTTGCATGGTCACCCCTCAGAGCCTCTACCACCCTGGCAAGGATGAGTTTGGCCAACAAGGGACTGTGGAGGAAGGAACAGCTAACTCCTATGCACCCCTCCTTTCCCCCCTCCTGCCACCTTCTGGATGGGGCTGGAGAATAAGTGGCTCTGAATTCCTCACGCTAAATTCTCCTTTTCTTCCAAAACCTTCCCTCAAAAAGGTGAAGAGGGGGCATTTCAAAGCAAGAAGCCACATCCCGAGGCTAAGTCCTGACTTAGGAGTCCCACCTGAAGGGCGATGGGGAGGGGTCTCTGAAGGAGGGGGCTGCAGAAGAGAGAAGGGAGGTGTGAATGAGGGATGGGGCCCAAAGCTGGGGTGTAAGGAAGGAGCTGGGCAGGATGGGGGCTGGGACCGGGTAGGGGGCCAGGAGAGGGGGGTGCAGCCTGGGCCCCAGCGGCGGCTTGCCCAGCTCCCCCCGCCGGAGAGGTTTCCTGTTGCAATCAAAGCCCCGTTTGTGTAGGCCTGGAGCTGGAGCCCAAGCCTGAGCAGCGGAGACCCGGGAGGGGAGGGGAAGGAGGCAGTCGGCTGGGGTTTTTTCCTGGACGAGGCCTCCCTGCCGCCTGCTCGCCACCCTTACCCGCCTGCTCTCCCAGCAGCTGGGTTCTCTCTGGGTCTGTGCCTTTTGGCCTGTGTAGTTCTCTGTCACCTCGCTTAGGTCTCCGAGTCTGTCTTTTTCAGTTTCTTTTAAGTAGAACTCTTTTTCTTCCTGTGCCAGCTTGCCCTCAGTTTCTCCATGTGACTTAGTGAGGTGCAGCCTGGGCTCCTTGCCCCAGGGACACAGTCACCAAGTTCAGATGATAAACAGGGCTAGGTCCTCAACACCGCAGACATCTCCTCAAGAGGGGAAAGAAGGCAAGGCTTCCCTTCCCTCCCATCCCACTCTGTTCCCTGTAGTCTTGACAAAGCAAACAGAACACATCAGTGTTGATAAACACAGAGAGACAGAGAGACACAGATCCCAGGGTTTCACGCACACGTGTGAGCGCATACACTGGCACACACGCACACACGCACACACGCACCTCTGCTCTCCCATGCACACAGGCCTGTGCTTGCCTCCACAGCACATGCCCTCCTCCCCTCCCCGCCTCCTCTCCTCCACCACACGGTTCTGAGACGCCTGCCTTACCCACTCAGGCCCCTGGAGTACCCCAAGAGGTGGAGCAAGATTTCCCTTCTCAACGTGGATGTCTCCAAGGTGCTAGGGACCCAGCACTAGGATCCAAGAGGCAGCCTCAGGGAGAAGTTCCAGACTCCTTCATGGGCCACCCTCCCTCCCATAGACTGTGTAGAGAGAGACACAGGCTCAAGGTGAGTGTGGCTTTGGCATCAGACTTAGGCCTCCAACCCCTCTCCATTGGGTGGCCCCAGGCAAAAAGGGACAACAGGGCAGAGAAATGAGAGGCTATGCTCTTTCACCCCTCAGCCGCTCTCCTACTATGGGAGGCCTCCCAGACTCCAGGATCCCTTCCTCTCCCCTCTGCCTCACTCTCATTTACCACTGGGTGCTGCATGCCCCACTCCCATGCAGGCTGTCTGGACCCAAACCTTCCCCTCCTCCCCACCCCACCAGCACCTCTCTGCCCAGGCCTGTCCCCCGCTGCCAGCCACACCCTCCCCAGCTACCTGCCCTGGTTCTGGCTCCTCCCTTGGATTTCTCCTTTCAGTACCCCCTCCCCCTGCTCTTTCAGGGCAGCCCTGAGGGATAGAGCCCAGTGTGACCCCTTCCCCTACCTTGACCCTACTTTGATCCCTGACCTTGACCTCAGTGTGTCCAGGACACAGGAGAACTTCCCTGGGGACTTGGCCACTGGCTCTCAGCATTCCCCCACGATCATTCTTTTTCTCCTCTCCCTCCTTACTCCTAGAACCTGGGGAAACTAAGTCCCAGGGGATTGAGTTGTATGGTTCTCTGCAAGAAGTACATTCACAGAGAAGGGTGGTTTCTTCCTCCCTCCTCAGGCCCTATTCATGGGGTGTAAATGAGGTAGGGGAAGCCCGGCTGAGGTTTCCAAAAAGGGGGCTTTGTGCTCTCTTGTTCACCTGCATGCCACCCAAATATCCCCTGTTGGTCTACACACATGCCACCAGCAGGTCTCACCAAACACCAGACACACCATCAGCAGCCCTATTAAATATCGCCT